GCCCTGCCCATAGCGTGGGGGGGGTGACATCGGCGCCATCTCCCCTACTAGGGGAGCAGGACTTCCCAGACGGCCCATTCCAGCTGCCAGCTAGGAGCCCTGGCACTCTACGGAGCTGAGCCCCGCTGCTGTCGGCACCGTCTCTGCCGAGGCATTCCCAAGGCCGGATTCAGCGGCATGAGCAGACACGCCGAGTGCAAACTCTTCGGTGCTTCTTTCCCCACCTCTGGGGGGGCGGGGCGGCCCCGCGGGCGGGTGGGCAAGCTGGTGCTGCGCTGACTCATGCCTCGGCGCCACGCTGCCTTCTAGCTCTTTCCCCACCTCTGGGGGGGCGGGGCGGCCCCGCGGGCGGGTGGGCAAGCTGGTGCTGCGCTGACTCATGCCTCGGCGCCACGCTGCCTTCTAGCGGGCAGAGTCAGAACTGCTCAGCTGCGTGTCACAGGCCCTAGACTGCAGGCGGCTCCTGACGAGTCTCCTTTCACTCGAGCGGTTGGGACTTGCGCTTCTGGCGCAGCAAGGTCCCCCGTTTGGTGGCCACACACCTGATCCTGGGGTTACAGCCCGCGCTTGTTTTTCAGTGACACGGCCCAGATGCCTGGCACGGAACGGGCATCCCCGCCGAGGCAGGGGACAGGAGCGGTCGCTGCTTCGGGGCACAGCCCGGGAGGGCCCAGGGAGCAGAGAACCTTTCCATTCCCCTCTAGGGTTTGCTTTTTCTTGCCTTTGCAGAAACACAATTTCCCCATCAACTACACCGTGAACGTCCATTTCCAGGAGGTTCTGAGGCCGGCCAATATTACCAGCCTGGTAAGGTGCACAGAGCTCGCGTCCAGCCTCGCGCCGCTTACCCCCACGGGGTCCGTGCTCTTTCTATGGGCGCCCCGAACAACTGCCCCCTTAGCCCCGCTGGCCGAGGCCCCGGGGGTGGGGCCTTCTCGAGCGGCCGGCCCGGCCTGCAGCTTCTTAGGAATCCCTCCCTGCCTCTCCGCTGGCGGAGGGAAAGGGTTACGAGGAGGAGGGAGAATAATTGTCCTATCCTGAGAGGCTAAGAACAGGCAGCAAGGGGCTTACACTGCAGCAAGGGAGGTTGAAGTTGGACGTTAGGAAACACTTCCTGCCTGTCGGGGGGCGAAACACTGGGCTAAGTGGCCTGGGGAGCTGTGGAGGCTCCATCCCTGGAGATATCTCAGGGCAGGTTGGACGGATGGTTGAGAAAATGTGGCGGAACCTTAGAAGACGATCGGCTTTAATTCGGCAGGTGCCCGGCAACAGGCAGTTTTAGAACACGAGTGTCGGGTCTTGCGGGGTCCGTAGACAATCCCTGTTCCAAGAACACAGCCAGAGCGTGAGCAGCAAAGTTAAGATTTGCTCGCGGAGCCCTTGGGCCCAGGGTAGAGCTCCCCGGAGCACCCTGCTCTAGACGGTGCTTGGTCCTGCCGGGCCCACGTGACCTCTCCGGGCCCCTGCCAGGCCTGTGACTCTGATTCTAATCCGTGAGGCCTCTGCCCCCTGGCCTGGGCATTGGGCTATTCCTGCGGGGCGCTCAGCAGGGCCTCTCCCCATGCACGGAGGCCAGGCTCCCCGGAGTGGCCGATGTGCGGGAGCGGCAGGGGGCTCGGCTCGCCCCAGTTCCCAGCAGGGAGCAGCTGCAGAGGCTGGATGCCGGGTCCGAGTGCCGGGGAGAGAGGGGCGCTTTGCGGCCTAGTTGAACTTTTGCAGAAGTGGGGGGGTGGATTTTGCTAATGCCCTGGGCTGGGGTGTGGGGGCAGCTGCCAGGGCTGGATCCGGCCTTCCCAGGGGCTAGGGGAGAGCACTGGTCACAGTAGCACAAAGCCCAAGGAAGCACCAGCCAGGGCCATGGGGAAGGCAGAGCAGCTGGGGACGGGCACAGGGGTAGGGGTGGGCTGTCGGGCGCTCTCTGGGGCCCAGGGCAGTGGGGAGGGCAGAGCAGCCGGAGGGGGGCGCAGGAGCTGGGGTGGGGTGTCGGGTGCTCTCTGGGGCCCAGTCCCGCAGGGACCCTGCCCCCCGAGCGTGACCCCTGTCCCTTGTGCTCTGCAGCGGGTCCAGCGCGTGGGGGAGCCGTCCCTGCGCTTCCTGTGGGTCAGCGTCAACGTCCAGGTGCTGAAGAAGGTCTTGGCCGTGCTGCCGGAGAAGCACCCGTCCTGTTCCAAATCTTTGAACATCTGGAGGAGGAGTACAACAGCTACGACCAGGTGGGGAGGCCGGGGGCCCCAGCGGGCAGCCCCCCCTTGGGCTGGCAGGCTGGGAGGTGCCGGGGGGGTATTCATTCAGTCCCTCCTCCCCCCTCCCTTGGCACCCCAGAGAGCAGCAGATCCCCCTCCCCCACGGGCTGCGGTGCCCCGGACACCTGGCAAGGGAGACCCCCCCCCCCACGCC